ATTTATACTTACTTTATGATTTGCATAACAATAGTGTTTTGATATGTGAACATAGTTACTATAATCATTGCTTTACAAATGTTTTAATTTAAATGTTTTATATATCTAGATTATCTTCAAGTTAAAATTAAGAAAAATATAGATGCACTTATAGTAAGTATAACTAATAAATTCATTAAAAATAAAATAACTGATAAGAGTAATAAAAATGCAATTAATAAAAATAATGATATGGGCAACATAAATAGAATAACTAAAGCAATAGCAAATGATTTATTAAAATATTTAAAAAAAATCTTTCTTGAATTATATAATAAATATACAATTACCCATATATTACTTAATTTAATCAAATTTTTATTTAATTTAGTAATTATAATTATATTAATTTAAAAGTTAACTTTTGATGTAGTTTTAAAGCAGCCAGAAATTTTATAATATTATCACTATTTTTATTACAGCAGAAACTGTTAATTTTACATATATATTGAAACAAGTAAGAGATTATATCCATTACAATTGAATCTAACATAAATAATTTAATTTGTAATTGATCACAGGTAAAAGGAATTCACTTTAAATTGAGCATTGTCACTGCTGTATGTTTTTATAATTCCTGAAACACCTGATAAAAATTGACCTAATAATGTTTCAACTGATTCAATTAAGTTTCAATAAAATTGGCATATAATTTAAGATCAGTAACTAATGTAAATATTACATATAGAGCGTACGTTTATATCTTTGGTTCAGTATTGAAATATGATTTTAAATTTCATTTACCAAAAAATAAAGCAGGTTACATTACCCGAAAATTTTGTGCCCTCGTTTGGTGATAATTGATGTAATTTGATTGGTTATTTTTCATGTGACGCCAATTATTTTGATTGGACGATCAACATCGGAAATTTTCGGCAAATTCGAAAATCTGTGTAACATTGAACGGTTCCTTCTGTCCATAACATGTCGAATGATTTGAGTGCGTAAGAGAAATGTTTTCACTCTCACGCACTCATGCCGTCAATAGAAATCAGGTTGACATTTAAAAAAAATCAATACCTTACCTTTCACAGCTCATATCTCGATGAATTTTGATGCCAATTTAATTATTCAATATCCAAAAGAAAGCTTAGATCTCAAGCTTCCTTTTGAATATGAAATAATTAAACTAGATTCTAAATTCATCAATATATGAACTGCGAAAGGTAAGGTATTGATTTTTCTTTTAAAATGTCAATCTACCTGATTTCTATTGACGGTAGCCCATTTGTCCACAGATAATTATGGGACAATGTCCATGTCCAATAAATTTCTTGGACATATTGTCCATGTACATTACTGACTAAAATATTATGCTACTATAACGAAAAAGTTAGGATTAGGGTTCGTTTATCAGGAACAGTACTCAAATAAGATCGGTACCGATGATTCATCAGGAACAGTATTTTTGCTAAAAAAACCGTCTTCTACTGATTTTACCATAGGAACATAGACCCTAACCCTAACCTAAATGAATTTTATCGATCACCACGTAATAGTGACATCATGCAATGCACAGGATCACCAGTGGCAAAATCCTTCTTTAAAAATGTGAATGAACTTTATCTAAATTTGACGAACATAAAGCTATTGAAATTTGTAAAACCGTGTCTATTGTTGAAAAGAGTATAATAAAAGCTATCGATTAAAAAAACAAAGTAAAAAGAATAGATATTTTCTGCTCAAAAAGTGTACCTTTGTTAGTTGTTTTAAAAAAGTCCACAGCGTTTTGTAAATAAAGGAAATAATTCGCGCAGTTAATTTTCCGAAATTTCCGAAAACCCAATAAAAATCTTAATATATGTTATGGCTTGATTTACCGATTTGATGAACCCAAACGCACAACCATAAGTCATAAACGCTAAATGTTCATGATAAAATCTCTTGGGAAACTTATTTGGGGTGAGTGACCGTAAAGTGTTAATTATAAATGATTACTTTATTGGTGACGTTTACATTAAATTTTGGTTTATAGGTGATCCAGACAATCCTGAACTTATTCAAATAAGTGCAGGTGAGCTCTATCTTGTCAGGCCAAATAGTCCAAAAGGCAACAGAGAATGCATGTATGTTTATGTACGCGTCTCTAAAGGGCACAGCAGAATATCTACTTATTCAAATGACACACGTTTTCTAAATAATTATTTATAAATCTCTGGGAATATATATATTTATCCATTTATCTAATAGCTTTCGGGAAGCCCAAGCTATTATAAGGCGTACAAGTACTGAATGGCAGTATCAACTTGTCATCGACAGAGTTTTTGAGGAAGGTGAAGAAGAGCTAGTGTCAGAAGGTGATTCCGACGAGGAAAGTCAAGGTTTGTTAGTGTTCTAATTTTTCATTTATGCCATATGTTTTGACATAGTAAAAATTCTAAAATTTTAAATAAATGACTGGTAAAGGTGGTGAAGAAGAAAAGGTTTTCCTTATTGATGAGTCTCTTGAATTTCGCAAAGGTCAAATCGAGGGATTGACCACGTTCGCGTGGAGGGATTTAATGGGTGTAGGTGACATTACTACAGTTTATATTGAACGCGTATTTTTGAAGATCTAATTGATTTAATCTATTTCGCAACAGGACCCTGAGGATTTGTTTGAATTTGTTTGCGACGTGAATACTACTGCACATACGACCAATGCTTTCGAATACACCATGTATAGTTGCATGTTTGAACGAAAATACAGAAAATCACGTGAAGAGGCGACAGAACAAGAGCTCCAAAATTTCATTTATGTGTAAATTTTTATGATATAATTATTCTCAAACTGTATGATGTATAATATTGATTATGATGTTTATGATATAATAAATTATAGGCCGCCAGCGGAGAGAGGTCATTCGAAAATTTCACAATCTCCATCTACCCCGAAACATCACATATCTACACCTTTAAATGACTCACCAGTATCAGCTAGTACGACTCCTGTCAGGTCTGTTCGGTCTGAAACTTCACCATTATCCACCCCTACACGACATACTGTTTCCTTTGATTTTCCTGGTGCCCCATCTGAGGTTGAAAACGCCATCTCAGTGCCTGTTGAATTGCATGTATTTGATCCTACTTCAGGAACATTTTTGTTAATGTCTCCAAATGCCACTGCCAGTATAAAGAAAGGAAAAAAATTCGAATGTATCCTTTTTAAGATGGTCTAAATTTGATATGAACATTTTATTCAAAATTATTTCTTGACATCATTCAAATTGTAGATTGGCATGTCGTTTCAGATGATAAAACAACACTTGTTGGCCAGCGGGTTGAACCAAAAATGAATCCCGTATTTAATCGGGTAATTTTTATATTTTGTACAATTCTATTCGTACACTAACATATGAAACATGAATACTTATAATAACTTAACATTTTGTTTATAACCCATTTTGAGATTCTAACAAAAATAAAATTTCAAAGCGAGCTATATTTTACTCAAATCTTAAACCCTAACCTAACTACAACCTAATTTGATTTTTTTTCCTTTAAATTTTGAATTATATGGCTCTACAAATTATGTCCATGTTTTATACACTGGCGTAAATTAAGAAATTTTCTTAATAATTTTATTATTTTTTACTCAAATAATTTTATGTCAATTTATTTTAGACACATGTATGCTTCATATGGTGTTATTTTGATGGTAACTCCTTCATCTGTTTTTTTTATTGTTTTTTGGCGTCAACAGCTAACAGCTATTGTTAATAAAGGTTCTTGTGATTTCAGAGTCCGACCGAGTTTCTTCTTTTTTGATTCGCTTCAGAGATCTAGAAGGTGAAGCAAATTTCAAGAAAAAATTTGCCCAAGCCATGTATGAAACTTTAAATGAATCTAGGGCAAAGGTTCGGTTTAGTTGAAATAGCTGATATGATTTTTTTTGCCTCCTAACTCTATCTAATTGGTATAATTGATTTTTTTAGGAAGAAGAACAAGAGTATTTTATGAATGCATACCAAGAAGATGTCGAGATGACTGATGCTGAATCGACCGATAAAGAAGATACGGAAGAAGGTGCGATCGTAAGAATCTGAAATCTGAATTATTTATCTAATAATTCTTTCTTATTGTCAATATAATTAATCTCTGTAGAAAATGAAATATCAGAAGATGACGAATCAGATGACAATATCGATACGAAAGGTGTAGAAGGAGACAGTGCCAATACACAACTTATTGTTGGCTATAAACATGATAGATCTTTTGTCTTAAAGGGTAATAAGATTGGTGTATTTAAACACACAGATGATGACCGCATTGAATTAACGACAAACATTGGTGAAATAAAAAAACTTGGAGGGAGCAAACTTAACCCTTCAAAGGTGTGTTTTATTTATTTTATTATTATTATTTTTTAAAAAAATAATACTTGATTATACTAATTTGTTTTTATCCATGTATTTATTAGGGAATGCTGCATGAAGAAGACTCTACGATGGTTCTAATGGATCCCCAAGACGAACATAATCTTTTCAAGATGGATTTAGAATATGGAAAAATTGTTGAAGAATGGAACGTTCACGATGTTGTTCCTGTTACAAGTATATTTCCAAGTAATAAATTTGCTCAGACGACAGCTGAGAAGACCTTAGTTGGGATGTCGCATAATTCGCTTTATCGAATTGACCCACGACTACCTGGTCTAAAATTAGTAGATAGCCAACGTAAACAATATATGACTAAGAATGATTTTAGTTGCGGGGCGACAGATGCCAAAGGTCATATTGTAGTAGGGAGCGAAAAAGGCGATGTCAAATTATTTGATTCACTAGGCAAGATTGCAAAGACAAATCTTCCTGCTTTAGGTAGTGCAATTAAGGGAATTGATGTAACATCTGACGGTAGATGGATTATTGCTACTACTGCTCGATACTTGTTACTTTTGGATACATTAATTAAGTCTGATCCAAATAAAAAACTTGGATTCGAAAAAAGTTTCCCCAAAGACAAAAAGGTTTGTTTGTAATTATACTGATAGATACTTAATTTAATATTGATTAGTTGTTTAATAACTCGTTTCTTTCATACCTTTTTAAGCCAATACCAAGAAGGTTACAACTTAAGCCAGAACATTTGGCTTTAATGAAGGAGCCTGTATGTAATTATAAATGCTTGCACCAATTAATTATGCATATTAATCACGTCCATTTTTAACTTTCAAGGTAAATTTCACGCCCGCGCGATTTAATACTGGTTTGGATGAAACGGAAAAAACCATAGTGACAAGGTAACTATTATAACAATTTTGCAGTCTTTTTCAATATTTATTAGCATTGATCATATTCATAAATTTTTTTTTTAATCAGCACTGGTCCGTTCATCATTACTTGGAATTTCCGTCGTGTCAAACAAGGAAAACTTGATGAGTATCAAATTAAGCGCTACACGGATGACATTGTAGCTGACAACTTTAAATTCGGGCAAGATAGATCGATTGTTGTTACTTTTCCGCATGATGGTATATTATTATGAGATTTTATGTTAATTTGTCAATATTATGATTACTCCTAATTCCTCCTTTCATTGACATCAATAAATAGTCACAATGGCGAAAAAGACACATTTGTCGACTCCAACAAAAGCAGTGCTTTCACCTTCCAAGGTAATCTCTCATTCGATTCAACTGTATTACTATTTTTCATTATTTTACATCAGAACTAATATTATATCTTTACTTTTTAATTCAGTATATAAAAAAGCAGAAATCTATTAGATAATATAGGTAATTTCATTACTTCTGATATATCACATATTCATATAACATTAAAAAGTTTATAATATTTTATCAAATTATTGCTATTTAAGACTAAGCTTTTGAGATTAAATATATTATAATTTTAAATAATAAAAATAAATTATATTTTAGTTAAATCTTAATTATAATTATTTTTAAAATTTTATAATTTTGATCTACTGATTCAATTTAGATGATTTAACTATTAAAATAATTTTCTTAATGAGGAAATTTTAATGAATACGGTTATATGATAATAAGATTAATGTAGATTGTTTTTTTTTAGTTTTATAAACTAAATTTCGTATCAATTGATTGTTTTTATTTGGTATATAATTGTTTTTAAAGTTTTGTGGATTTTTAAATGGATTTTTAAATTACATAGAGGATAATCTTTGCAAAAAAAGTTTTTTTTTAATTTTTTTAATGGTTTTATTAAAACATTATTGGTGTTTAATATTGTTTTTTTTTAAGCAGATTTGTTTTATTAACTTAAATTATGTTTTATTTATTGAAAAATACATACAGTATATTGATTATTTAAATTTTAATTTTAAAGTTAAAGTTAATAGTAGGCAGTTATATTTTACTTATGGTTTATACAAATATTTTTATTAGTTTTTTAAAATGTTTTAATTATATTTGTTAGCTATATATATTATATTTCTAATTTGTTATATTATAGCATAAGCATTTTAAATATAAACAATATTAATTTTTTGTTAAAAATAGCTCAAATTCTTTATTTTTATTAATTTTTTTTTTATTTTAAGCAATTATGTTAGTACTTTATTAATATTTTTAAAACTACATATATATATGCATAATTATATAGAATTTTTTTAATACTTAAGTCTAGCATTATTTGATTACTTTAATAATATTTAAGTGCAATTTGTTGCATTATCTTAGTTAGAAATAGACTGCTTGTTTAATTATTTAAAGTTATATCAAAAAGATTTTTTCTTTTTTGTAACAAATATATCAATCATCTTTAAAGTTTCTTTTTTTATTTAGTTTATTTTCTTTATTTTCTTTTTTTTTTCTTTTTTTATTATTTTATTTTATTTTTTTTCTTTTTTGACTTTTTTTTTGCTTAAGCATTTTTCTTTATTTAATTTGTTATTCCTTTTTTTATTTTATATTTTTTTATCTTTTCATATTTGATTATAGAATGTATTTTATACTGTTCTTGTTACTATATCTATATATTTTTATATTGTTTGTTTGTTTAAGAACTGTTTAAGTTTTTTCTATTTCTAATATAATAAATCTTTTTATTAATACTTTTTTGTTTGTAATTTTTCTTTTTCTGCTTCTTCAAATAATATTTTATATAATATTCATAATAGAATTTTATTTTTTTCTTCTTCTTAAAGTTTATTTTATATTATTACTATTAACACTTTTTGTATTTTTTTTACAAGTTTTTTGCTTATTACAACTTATTATATTTGCTTAGAAGTTTTTTTTTCTATTTTGATAGACCTAAAATTTTATTATTATATATATTTTTAATTTCTTTTATTTAGTTTTTATAGTATTAATAAATTGTTTATTATGCACTTAACTGCTATAGCTCTTTTTGCACTTAGTTTTCTTAATGTATAATATATTTATTTTATTTTATTTATCTTATTTTACAAACTTTATTAGTTATAAAATATATATTCTATTTCTAATTTCAATATTCTAATTAGGTTTGTTTTTTCTAATTGATTCTAATTCTGACATTTGCAATTATTTTACAGTTTTATTAGTATATTAATTTTTTTGTTTTTTATTTTAAATGATACTCTATATATTATATTGAATTTTTTATATAAATTATTTCTTTACAACTTACTTTTTTTTTGTAAAAATATCTGCTTTATTATTTTATTAGTCTTTATTATAACTTTTAATTTTAATTAGTTCTATTTTAGTATTTTTGTTTTTAATTAAATCTATGATGTTTATTATTTATATCATATTTTTTTAAAAAAAAAATTTCTTTTCTTATACTTTAAATTGCTTGTTAATATTTTTTAATACAGCATTATGTTTGTATAATGCTATAAGTTTATACTCATTAGTTATACTAAGTATTTTAATTTGTTTTAATTTTTTAAATAGTTATAACTTTTTATCAAAAAAGTATTAAAAAATTCTAACTAATAATTTTATAAAGCTATATTAGCTTTATATATATGTCAAATATTTTTTTAAAATCTGATTACTATAAAGAGTTGATGTATTTTAAAAATTGAAATTTTATATATAAATTTATAAATTTATATATAAAATTTCAATATTTAAAATGTATTATTCTTTATAGTAATTAGATTTTAAAAAAATATTTAGCATATATGTAAAGTTAATATAACTCTATAAAGTTACTAGTTAGAATTTTTTAATACTTTTTTGATAAAAAATTATAAATATTTAAAAAATTAAACAAATTGAAATAAGAGTGTAATAATCTAGTAAAGTAATCAAGTTGTCAAATTTTCAAGTGATAAGTTGGGTGTTCAAATCCTATTGATAATAAAAATTTAAATAATCATTTATGTAATATTCATATTATGGCAATTGCTACTAATAATTGGATTAGAATACCTATAATAAGATGCATTTATTTGCATATCATATATGTTTTCTGAATATTTATACATAATCATGCATATATAAATAGCTAATCAGAGATAATGTGGATGATGTATATAATTTTTTTTATTAAATATAATTAAATTTATTAATATAAAAATTTTTATCAAGAGAATGATAATCCTAATATAGTAGTTAGGTTGTCATCTTTTAAGTAGCAGGTTTAAAATTCAAATCCTATCTATAATAAAATTTGTAAATTATATTTGCATTATAGTAACTGTCTTTTGTCAATTAGTTGGCCTTATGTGACTGTAATCCAATTACATCAAATTAGATACTACTGATATTAGGAGCTTGAGCATCTATATGAAATATAACATTACATATATATAAAGGAATATATAACTGGTGTTGCATAAGACTTTAGTACAAATCTACAATATAACTATTAGGTTTAGAAGACTAAGAAACTGAGATGACAGAAACTCACTTAAAAATTCTTAAATAAAGAGATAGCATAAACTTTTGACAATATGATTAAACTGGTTGAAGCTTATGAAACACCTTCATAGAAACTAAAGATTAAACTGTATGTCAAATATATGTAAAGAAGTATATAACTAACTAGGCCATCTGACTCATTAGAAGAAAAGAATACAGAAGTATATCATAACAGACTATCTAAATTGGTAGTCTAAGAGAAACTGCTAATTCTAAGTTGCAGCTAATAGAGAATAATAAAGAATATATTGAAAAAATAGGTACTAGGGTTTTAGTAAACTTTACAAAGATAGAAATAGTATAATATAGCAGTTAGACAAGTAATCTTTGTAATTACAAGTGTTAGATAACTACGTATAACATGTTATATAAAACTAGATCAGTATGTATGAAATATAATGTTCTAATAAGTTCCTGTCAAGAATAAAGTAGTTCTAAGAATATCAACTAGTATTAGAAACTTGGATGGATGTAGTCTTGAAGATGTTCTCATAATACAAGAAGGATTGCATATGCAGAGTGTTTAAATAGATAAGACCCTTAGTTGGTTTGCAAGTATAGCATTTAGTATAGAACTTATATAGCAATATATAAGCAAACTACTTAAATTAGGCATCAAAAGTGCATATATAATTAGTTGTAATCTTTAATATAAGGTAGTTTCTAGTAACATACTGTGTTTTATATACTTGAATAAAAAATATTACATCTTGAAGTTAGGAACTTTAATATTAAAAAAAAAAAATATATTTATTACTTTTTTAGATGTACAGATTGTATTTATTCTTTTACTGAAAAATTTTAAATACTAATTGGTTTGTTTTAATAATATTTACAGAGTATAGTGACTTAGTGAAATAGATAAGTTATCATTTCTCTAAGTAATAGGTTGTGAGTTCAAAACTTACTAATAGTGAAATTTGAATAATCATTTATGTAATATATAAATAGTATTATGATAATAATATTCTGTTTATCAGTTTGGATAGGATACCTGTAATTATGGTTATATTAACATGACTGGCAGTTCTGGAGCATTTGTGTAATTTGTTACACAGAAAAATACAAACTAGTACTAAATAATGCAAATCTAAAATAAGTTCTTAGACTATATAAATCTATAGAACTGAGAAGCTAAAGCTTACTTGAAAATTCTAAGCAGAGAAGTAATATAGATCTTTGACAATACTACTGTAAAAGCTAGATCTAGAAAATAGATACCAATATGATAAAATCAGGCAGGCAAAAATCTTAGATAAGAGGTACTACCAACCAGACTACTGAATTTTAGACTAAAGAAAAAGGATATTAGGTTAGCCTCAATATACCAAGAACAAATCATAGTCCTTCTGGGCTATTTGGATTAGAAGTCTGAAGTCAAAGCAGAAGTATACTAAAAGTACTAAAGATATGCTATAAAGTCAGTGCCAAGATCTGAATAAATTCTGTAAGAGTAGCTCTTGTTAGTGTTCTAAAAGTAAATAGATAGTTAACAACAAAGGGCCCTCTATGTCTTATTGGCAAGTGACATATTCTGAAATATGTAACAGTCTAGAAACTAGTACAAAAAGAATAAGTATCATATTGCTCAGATGGTATACTAGTTAGATATATATAGAGAGTTAGTTAGAATTATATTATAACAGAGCAAATGATTAGAAGATTTAAATAAATAATCTCTTAGTAGGTTATAAGTACAGCATTTAGTATAGAACCTTAGAGTAAACTACTTAAATAAGCAATCAAAAGTTACATATGTGACTAGTTGTATTGTCATTTCTGTAAAAATAATTGTAATAGCTAACCCAATAAAAGTCAATAAAGTATTACTACAAAGTATGACTTTTAATAAATAATAATAATACTAATAATAATATTTACAAAATTATAAGATTTATTTTTATATTATCTATAATAAAAATTTTTTTCAGTCTTTTTATATGCAAATTATTTATATATTTGTTTAAAACTTTTAAGTAGCAGGTATTTTTTTTTTACAAAAATATAAATTTGGTCTTGTAACTTTGTTTTTTGGAACTTAATACTAATTTGTTAGTTTTAAGAGCTGTATATCTAAATATGTTATTAATACATAACAGTAACAAAACTTGATTATATAAAATATCTTTGATACATATATGTAAAATTTTATATAATACTATATATAGTTTTGATTGACATAGTATTAATATATCAAACTCCAAAAAGGTGTAGCAACCTAGTGAAGTGAATAGGTTGTCAACCTCCAAGTGGCAGGTCTAAAGTTCAAATCTCAGTGATAGTGAAAATTTGCAATTCTTTCTGTATTATGGTTAACTGTCTTCTATAATTAGTTAGAATAAAACATCTATAACCCATGTCATACTAGCATGACTAGAAGGTTTAGGTATTTATACAACATTGTACAAAGGAACACAAACTGATATCAGGCAGTATAAACTCAAGATAAGTCCTTAGGTTATATAAATCACAGAAACCAGGTAGAAAGATGGAAGTTTACTTGAAAGATCTAAATAAAAAGATAACCTGAACCTTTGACAGTGCTATTGTAAAGACTAGATCTATAAAATGAAGCTAGAACTTGTAAAACTAGGCAAAGAGCCAGCCTTTGAAGAGGGGCTAAATGGAACCAACCAGGTTACTGAGATCTGTTTCAGAAAAAAAAATTACATGCTAGCAAACATGTAAACCAGAAGTGTATAGTTACAATCTGTCTTTTTAGGCTATCTGATTTGAGAGTTTAGTAAAACTTGAATTGAATACCAAAGTAGTAGAGATATGTTGTGAAGTTAGTACTGAGGTTGGGATAAACTCTACAAGAGCATAGCAGTTTAATAGTACACTTTGACAGCTAGTATTAGTCTTAGTCATAGCAATACTGAGTTAGCTATAAGAATAGGATACAGAAGATTTTGAAAGGTTTAGTACAAGATCAAAGGTTCCTTATATAAGTAAACTGCTTTAAAAACTTAGTGGCCATGACATATTTTCACCAACATTAGCTAGGGTTATTAGTAGACAGAGATAGATAGATAAATACAGAAACTAAAGTAATTAAATAGAAAACCTACAGGCAGGTTTCAGGTATAGCAACTAATATAGAACCTTTAGGCAGACTACTTAAATTAGACAATAACTAAAGTTGTACAAGTAGCTAGTTGTACACTCTTTTTATAGTTGCCCCTTGTAGTTATAATGCAACCATTAGCCAAATATACTATCAATAAAATTCTGAGTCACAAATACTCAATTTAATATTAAAAAAATATATATATATATATTAAATTCCAAATAAGATAATTAATCACCAATATATATGAAGCAAAATCAATTTATTCATTATAAATTTTTATAAATATAAAGAAAAATTAAGTTTCTAAAGTAAATTAAGCACTTTATACTTATAGAAAATTATATATTAAATAAAATTATACTTTAGTATCTATGATTATAATTTAAACTTTATATTATATACAAAAAAAAAGAAAAAAAACAATTATTGTATTATATTAATTAAAAAGTGTAGGTCTCATAGCTTAGCAGTTAAGCTCCTATACCCTCCACAGTCAAGGTCAACAGTTCAAGTTCAGCTGAAGGCAAAATTGAAAGATTTTAACTTCTGTAATCTAATAAGAAGTTTGTAATTGAATATGAAGCCCTGTAGTTAAGTCCAAGTGCAGTACAATAATGGAAATAGGAATTCCTAAAAGGAGACCTAATTATGAAGTGCAGGCACTATGTGTAACAAGCAGTTGTTACAGAAGGTTATAGGTATAAAAAGATTTTGCATATAAGTTCTTTAGACTAGAGTAGCATTAACATCCTTATACCTCCTAATATAGGCAGTACCAACATCTTTGCATCTAACTTGTAGGGTATTTGCTTGGAAAGATAATCAATAGATTGTGCAAATAAGTCCTAATTAGGATTCAAGAAGAGAATTTGATTGGAAAAGTATTCTGAAAGTAACCAAGACTGGAATGATGAAAGAAGCAGTGAATATGAGAACAGACCATGATAAAGGATTGGTCTAATCAAAAATTGTAAGCACCTCTGACACAGCCAAATAATCTAATTATAAAAGAGAAAAATCTTGGAGGTTGATATATAACTTTCTTGTGCAATGTAAAAGTACCAAATTGGGTTTCTGATTATACTTATATAGAAGTCTTTGACAAACAAGACTGGGATTAACTAACCATTATGAGATAAGATCTGCAAGGTAGTATGGCATTACTGAGGTTAGTATAACTCTTTAGGGTATAACCTAAATTGTTCTACAAGTATTATTAAAATAAGCTGAAAGCTTGCAATATATAGTAGTATGGTATTACTGAAATCAGAGAAACTCTCTAGGTATAACCAGAATTGTTCTGTTTGTAAGTGCAACAAGTCTTAGTTCCTACTATAAAAGAAAGCACCATATTGGAGGTTAAATGCAGCATTGAGTTACTGTATAATGTTAAAACCTGGAGCATCTGCAGAAACAGTAGCAGCAGACCTGGCTTAAGATATGGATTGGTTAAAAAGACCAATAGTGGCAGTAAATCTGGCTTGAAATATGGGTTCTTTGCAGATTCTGAACCATTGTCAGAACA